TCTGCAGAGATTCTGACTCAATCAGGGCTAGGGCTAGTGCAATAATATATGTTTTACAAATAAAAGGAACTGACTTACCCAATATATAGGCAAGTAAGTGATGAAACTGATATTTAAATACACTCTTTGTCATCAATATACCAAACCTAGGGCAAGTCTACTCGTTGCCATCGAGCCGATTCCAACTCATAGCGACCCTATAGGGTAGAGTAGAACTGCCCTGTAGAATTTCCAAGGAGCAGCTGGTGGATTTGAACTCCCCACCTTCTGGTTAGCAGCCAAGCTCTTAACCACCGCACCAGCAGAACGAAGAAGTGTTTTGTTCTACTGTATATAGGGTCGCTATGAGTTGAAACTGACTCCAGGGCACGTAACAACAACAGGGCAAGTCTATACTACTGTATTAGTTTTTGTATTGCTGCATCACTAATTACCATAAACTTAGTGGCTTCGTATACCCACTTATTAGCTCACAGTTTTGTAGGTCAGAAGTCTCACGTGGCATGAGTGGGTTCTCTGCTCAGGGTATCACAAGGCTGAAATTAAGGCGACAGCCAGGTTGAGTTTTCATCTAGATGCCCTGGAGAAAACTTGCTAGCTGTCAGCTGGGAAGGTGCTCAGCAGCTGAAGGCCACCCACATTCTTCGCCACATGGTCTCCTCCATCTTCAAGCCAGCAATGGAGCATTCCTTCTTGTGCTTTGAACCTTTGGCTTCCTCTTCTACGACCAGCTGGAGAAAATTCTGCTTTTAAAGGGTTCATGAGACTAGGTCAGGCCCACCAAGATAATCTCCCTATTTTAAAGTCAAGTATGCTTTATAATATAACCTAATCACTGGAGTAAAATCTACCATGTTAACAGTCCTGGGGATTATGCGGGGCGTTTCAGGGGGTGAGGGGTGGGGACATAATCTTGGAGGCCATTTTAGAACTCTGCCTACCACAACTACCCAGGGAAAGCAAAACGTTTAGGCTAAACAAATAATAGACTCTTTTATCTGAAAAAAACTTCGAAGCAATCTAGTTTAGGGATGACAGCTCCATGCTTTTTACCTCAGGAGCACACTTTCTTTAATCTCTCTTGAGAAGAGCAATCTAGAATACTCCATCTTAAGTGTGTTGTTGCTGCTGGGTGCCATCGAGTCAATTCTGGCTCATAGCAATCCCATGTGATAGAGCAGAACTGCCCCATAGGGTTTTTTTGGCTGTAATGTTCATGGAAGCAGATTGCCAGGTCTTTTTCCTGCAGAGCCAGAGGGTGGATTCCAGAAATATTATGGAAGGAATATGACTTGAGTATGAATATTGGTGGAGAGTAGAGACAGGATGGAAGTATTTTTCTGGCTTGGGAGACTTAGATGGAAGGTGCTGGTAAGATAAACAAGTTTAGAGGGTAAGATAAACAAGTTTAGAGGGAAAGATGAGTTTTTTGGAAATGATTAGTTGGAAGTGCTTGTGGAGAAGTTGAGTTAAATCTTTGGGTTAGCAGCAGAGTACTTAACGGTGGTGCCACCTATAAATTCTGAAGTCATGTTTTCATTTGAAGCTGTAACAAGCCTATGTTATTTCCTATCTATGAATCAAGTGATTATGAAGCACTGGCTTATTCTAACTCAACAGCCTTATAGAATGTATTAAAAACATCTTTTAAAGTGAATGAATGCGAATGAATGCAAATGATGCAAAATTATGAAATGGAGGTGGAGGTGGAATAAAGTTAGCTTATTAGGGGATATTATTAAACCAGGGCTTGCTTCGCAGAGTTTGAGAGAGGCCTGAGCCAATTCCATTTTTTGAGAATGAGTATATATAGTTGTCCCTCCATATTGGGGGGGGTGGGGGCTGGTTCCAGGACCCCCATGGATACCAAAATCTGAGAATGCTCAAGTCCCTTATGTAAAATAGCATGGTATTTGCATACAACCTATGCACATCCTCCTACATACTTTAAATCATCTCTAGATTACTTTTAATACAATGTAAATACTATGTAAATGGTTGTCGTACCGTATTGTTTAGGGACTAATTACAAGGAAAAAAAGTCTCTTTTTTCCCTGAATATTTTTGATCTGCAGCTGGTTGGATCCGTGGATGCATAACTCTAGGATACAGAGGGCCGACGGTACTTAAAACTGAAGAAATACCAGGATGGAATTGCACAAATTGAGGTATATTTTAAACAGTTACATTTA